AGGAGCCATTGAGCCTGACTCTCAGCCCGCAGTAAGCCACTCCACACAACAACACACACACTGGACCGACTGCGGTGTCCAAGTTTACCCGCCAGTTGGCAACCCTCTAAGCCACGTCTTTTAGTGCACCGTGATAGCTTCAAGTGCACCAGATTGTTTATAGTGAGGAAATAAGTGTGCTAAGGGTCGACCTCACTTTCTCCCCCACCGCCAGCAACAGACTACCGCCTAGCTGATCGGTCGCCTGAAATGGGATGGGTGAAGTGCTAAAAAGGAAAGCACGCACACATTGGTATAGCCTATCGTACCTTGATTGGGCGCGGCGTGAGTCTACACCTACGCGTGCCACCTCTTCTCATGCTCAAAAACGAGAACCTAACCAAAGTTTTAACACTGCAGAAAAAAAAACGATGAAGGCGGTGGTACGGACGGCTACCATGTCACACATCCGACTATACACCATCTAGTCAGAGCCTATACTTCACCAAGATTTTGACACATCAGAAGGATGGGAGCGGCAACTCGAAACTCACCTTGCAGTCTGGGCCTCCGTGCAAGGCCAATTACATGCGAAGGCAGCTCAACTCAAGAGGGCTTGTCTTTAAGGTTTTGCTGGTTCTTCAGTCTTGTGGTGATATAAATAAGTTTTGCAGTCTAGTCTTAATCATACACTTTTCGTACCGCATCCTATTACATCAGCCTCATGTGAACACGGTATCTCACGAGTGTTTTTGCACTAGAATTTGCTGTCCAACACTAGCAGAACTTTATAGGTATCAGTCCCCAGACTGGAATTTTTTGAACACTTTATCCTTCGCTAAGTGCCTTACGAGCCCATTATTATGGCCTTTCTAGGTCTGCCGCTGTGGTTAAAGAGTCTTCGTCTGCACAAGTATGTGGGTCTCTTTCAACGGCTGACCTACCGAGAAATGTTTGGTATCACTGACGAATGGCTGCAGCGTCATGTAAGCAACCGTCCTTTCGTTTCCTTGTTTTTATTTGTTAGTTACCAATGTTGTCGTTTGCAACGTCACGGCTACTCAGGTACCAAAAGCAATCGCCTGGGGAACTCTCCCATACGTGAAAATGTACCCGAGCATGTTAGAAGACAGCTGAGCAAAAATAGCAGACGCCGGTAGTGCACCAATCGACAACTATTTCTCTCACACACAGCTTGTTCATCCTAAGAGTAGGTCTGACTACTTCGATGGTAAAAAGTGTAAGATTCAAAATCTGCTGTGCCAGTTGTGATGTCATCTGCTGTGGCAAAGTGGAAACTCTGTCTGAACCCGTATACACGAAGATCACTTAGTGATGCGAAAACGAAAGTATTTATCCCAGGTAGCCATGTAGACACTAGACACAAAACTCTAGGGGAAAACGTCCGCATTATTGATGCCTGTCCAATGAGGAAAGGCCGTGCATTCCGGGAGGCAACACATGTGTGCATCAGAAGAAGATGCTGCGACCACTGGAACCAGAGTTTTATTTTCCTGACGTTTTGGATTCTGTAGAGAATCCTTAATCATAAGTAATGGTAGGATAGTCTGAGCCATGCTCAGATAGGGGTGCCTCCAAGAATTCTCCTAATTACAATATTTTTTAAAAACCGGAACATTCCTCCCCCATCTGCGCATGGCTCAGATTATCCTCCCATTACCTATGATTAAGGATTCTCGACACATTCGGAAAAGTCAGGAAAATAAAACTCTTTTTCCAGTGATCGCATCGTCTTCTTCTGAATTGCTTCCTGGAACTCGCATATTCATTTCTATTGGCAATACATGCATCAATCAGTGCATAAATTTAGATGTCACCAGGAGAGAGGGAAACGAGTACAGCCAGTTCTGGCGGACAACGGAGTGCACACGATGCGTATTGATGCAGACGTTGGCCAACCGTACAATAATTTGTTAGACACGGTTAAATAGTTAATTATTCACACACGACACGTCTGGTTTGACGAAGAGCTAAAGAACCCGTCTCGAAAATTTATGCGACAAGATTGTTTTTTCCCAGAAATCATCTCTTTTAATTTCCTGGCTTGACCGTTTTTCGATACGATCATTCGACCGTCGTCTCCGACGATTTCCGCTGTGTGCGCCACAGGGGCAGGGGGAGGGGGGTGAGCGCAGGGGTGGTAACTTGCACGTGATAACAGACTTTTGTAGCACTTACCGCACTCTCTTTGCCTTCACCGATCTAAGCAGGAGGTTAAGTCGAAGTCAAGAAGATCGGACGTGAGGTCGGCACATATAGCTGACTTGGCGTGAGCTCGCGCCTAGCCATGTCAGCACAACCTCCGCCTGTAGCATTAGTTATGGTTGTTATCCCCAATAACGCCTGCTGTGCCGCGATCTGGTCCCTGTGTTTGTCCAACGCAACAACTGTGTGGCCTGTTTTGG